TGGCAGGGGGGGGAGGAAAGTTTCAAAATCAAAATTCGGTAGCGAAATTGGTTCAATCAAGACTAAATTTCGAATTTAGGGGTTTCGAGGCTGCTCTTTTCTCGATAGTGAAATTTGTTTATTGCATATTGCAAGAAGTCATCAGACTATGGCCCGTAGTAAACTTCACTTCACTTCAGATGATCTCAACTGAGGGGCTGAGTTGAGGTATTTAAGATAAACTGACTAGCGGTCACTATCACATGCTTAAGAATGCGACCCGATCTGAAGGGTTAGCGTCAGGGCATGTGCCGCGATGAATTCACCTGAAATCCGTAAGAGCAGCCTCGATTTTGAGGTGAATTGACCAAAATAGTGTGCAAGGGACCCCTATTATGGAGACGTCTTCTTACGTGTATCTCGGACGTTCGATGAACATGGAGAACGACTTGAGGGAAGAACTTAACAGGAGAAGAGCAGCCTGGGCCGCCTTCGGGCCTCTGAAGGAAGCCACTAACCAACTGACGGACCCGGAGCTTCGTGCCCACCCGTTCGACTCAACCGTTCTCCCGGCGCTCTGTTACGCAGCTGAGACTTGGGCCGACACTGTAGCCACGTCGAAAGCTTTACGGACCACCCACAGAGCGCTCGAGCGCAGTCTTCTGAAGATGACCCGACGCAAATAACATCTAGTCGGACTTCGCAGCAAGGATATGAGAAGATTGTCCCGTCTTCGTGACCCAGCGGAATACGTTGCGAAAGCCAAACACCGATGGGCCGGTCACATAATGAGAAGAACAGACGACAGATGGACACTAAGAACATCTGAGTGGAATCCTCTCGAAGCCAAACGTCCTCGAGGAAGACCACCGACAAGATGGGCAGACGTGTTCGTGGAACGGATGGACCAGTTGAGAAATCAGCTGGATACGACTTTCGCCCCTGGAACTCGTGGACGCAACCACCGACGACCAAGAAGATCGTGGATGTCTGAAGCGAGGGACAGGGAAAAGTGGCAACTTCTGTACCGGGGCCCGCACGCCACGTGCGGATGGGCCATCTAAGTATCTAAGTAAGTAAGTGTGCAAGGGATGAGACGCAGAGAAAAATTTCGTAAGTTGCTCGTGAGTAACTTACGGGACATCGTACTTGACGTATTGTTGCAGTACAAGAACGCGCAAAACTGCACAATACCGGTGCCTAAAAAGGAAAGGACAATGAACAGCTGATTTCGGCAAAAAAGAAGAATAGGTTTTTTCCTTTTTGCAGAGTTTGCTTAGGTTTTTTTCTACAATGCTACTCAGAGGGACAATCTCTTTATTTATTTCCATTCGATTTCGTCCCTACTTCCTCAATTTTTGATGAAATTTTGGTTTAAAAAACGCAGTTTTGTTTTGCGCATTCTTTTGGTTTTGGATTCCTTGATAGCGGCCGTCATCGATTTTCTTCGATAGTGACCGCTATCGAAGATTGCTCAGTGATGCACAAGAATTTGGCGCTGGCCGGCGCCGAACCACGGTCGTGCAGGCTGAGTAGCAATCTCATATCCCTTTGACCAAACCTGCACAATCAAAGTAGGTGTTTCCTTTTTGATAGCGCGCAAGATTTTTATACCTGAGAAGCGATCCGCATCTAGATCAGTGGCTCGCCGGATGCTGGACTGAGGCGCCCCACGATCAACTCAAGTCCGCCTCAGGGTAGATCCCCTGAAAGGGGATTTACTACGGGCCTATCAAAATTTACCAGATTATCAGAAAACATCATAACATGTTTGAAAAGTGATTCTTCTGCTATTTAAAAAAAAGTTTAGCCTCAACTGTTTTCCTCCCCTCGTTTGCCTGAGGATAAATCTATTTGGCCATTGATCAAGGCATGCTGATCTGCTTTTTGTTCACACTTTCAATATCTGTTTTTGTCAAACCTCTGCACAAACGTGAACGCAGATATGGCTATCATTAGAAGCAACTACTGCACGACTTCGGAATTTTGAAGTTAACTTGGGCTACTTTAAACAGAACAATCTATATTGATTCAACCATATTTTGTTTCCACGACTGCTTTCCATACAAATTCATGCTGAGTATATTTTTTCCCAATAGTTCGTTCATAATTTAATAGAATCCGTAAACCTAAATTTTAGTCTCGTTTTGAAAAAGAAATTTCGAAAGCTCATAGATCTAAATTTTGACCTGCGTTGGGAATTATCAGTGTCAAACCTTGACTTTGCAACAAATAGCTCTCACTACTGGAAAGAGCAGCCTCGAAACCCGTAAATCCGAAATTTGGTTTTGATTAAAACAATGCCACTTGATTTTAAAACTTTCTTTGAATCTTCAATTTCATCTGAAGCGACACTGGATAAGGGGAGGGGGGCTTGCAATGCCTTGGTATCCTAAAGAGTTCAATATCACCTGTATCACCTGTATCCCCGTTGATCATCGTGTTGCACGAGCGGGTACCAGTGATGCCTCCATTCGTCCCTGTCTCGGGCGATTGTTGACCAATGTTTACGTATCGCACCAGGAACACGTGGAACGCTCTGAAGGACTTCATTAGAGAACTTCGTGAACATATCTGACCATCGCGTCGGCGGTCTTCCTCGTTCGCGTTTGACGTCCAGTGGTATCCAATCTGTTACAGCTCTCGTCCACCGGTTGTCGTCGAAACGCATTACGTGCCCGGCCCATCTTATCTTGTTCTGCTTGGCGTACGCAGCAGCGTCCCTGATCTTCGATCGTTGACGTAGGGTAGAACTTCGTAATCCTTGCCTCACTTGCGTGAGTCGATTCACTCCTAGCATCACTCTCTCAACAGCTCGTTCGATGACGCTAACCGCGTGTTCATCCTGCTTTCTCATTGTCCATGTTTCTGAAGCGTACGTCAAAGCAGGAAGAACCGTCGAGTTGAAAAGGTGGGCGCGGAGCCGGATGTTCTTGGTCTTCTTCACTACGTCCTCGATTGTCTTATATGCTCCCCATGCTGCACGTTTCCTCCTGCTCAGTTCCGGAGCTAGATCGTTCATCATATTGAGTTCACGACCTAGGTAGGTGTAGCTTGAGCATTCGGTGATGTTCGTCCCGTTGAGCATGAAAGGAGCATCAGGCACTCTTCCGTTCCTCATGAACATCGTCTTCGTTAGATTCAGCCGTAGACCGATCTTTCCACACACTTCGTCGAACTGGGCCAGCATTAGTTCCGCCTGCGTGATGCTTGGTGTTATCAATACGATGTCATCAGCAAAGCGAAGGTGGTGTAGCTTCCGGCCGTCGACTTTCACTCCCATGTTGTCCCATTCCAACTTACGCATGACGTTCTCCAGAGCGGCACTGAATAGTTTCGGCGATATAGTATCGCCTTGTCGCACGCCTCTCTTCACGTCAATGATGATGTCCTTGTAGAATGGTGTTATGGTGGTTGTGAAGTCGTTATACAGCTCACGAATTATCTTGATGTAATGAGTCGGAATACCTTGATTGCTCAAGGCATCGATGACGGCTTCAGTCTCACGAGTCAAAGGCCTTCTTCAAGTCGATGAAGGTGAGACAGAGCGGCATCTTATACTCTCGTGACACTTCAATGAGCCTTTACACCGTATGTATATGGTCTATCGTGCTGAATCCTCTTCGAAACCCAGCTTGCTCGCATGGTTGTCCTTCGTCCAACTCTCTTCCGATCCTGTTGAGAATGACTCGCGTAAAGAGTTTGTAGACTACAGACAACAAGCAGATAGGGCGATAATTGCCGATATCGCAGGGATCTCCCTTCTTGTACAGCAACACGGTTTTGCTGGTCTTCCATTGCCTTGGAACCTTGCCTTCCGTCAGGTAACGCGTGAAGAGCCTTGCCAAAGTCTTGATGAGAACTGGCGAAAGATTCTTCAGATGTTCTGGCTTAATCCTGTCGGGACCGGGTGCTGTACGGTTTTTCATCGACATGATAGCATGACGAATCTCGGAAGGAAGAACAAACGGTGCGACATACTCGTCCTCCTTGAGATGGCATGGTGGAAGGTGGACGTGGCTCGCAAAAAGATCCGAGTAGAAGTCGTGGATGACCTTCTCCACTGATCTTCGGGAAGCAGTTATGGTTCCGTCAGGACGACGAAGTGCGGTCATCTTTGTCTTGAAGTTGACGAAGCTTCGGCGGGCGTTGCGTATACTTCTTCCAGCCTCCGCGGCGTCAACCATCACTGCTACTCTTCTCTCCTTAAGGTCTTCTTTTATCGCTTCTCTGCATCGCTTCGCAAGCTCGGACGTCAGTCGGTAGTTGCCTGTGGCTCGTGCGCGTCCACGTTGGCGTATCAGCTCCAAAGTCTCCGTGGTGAGACGTCTTCTCGTACTTCTTAGACTCTGGGCTTCCTTGGCACAACCGTGGAGATGTTGTACGAACCGTTCGTATTCTTCGTCGATGTTGTCCATCACGGTATCTCGCCATGAGCCGGATATCGAAAAACAGATCCCAGTTGGTGGTATTCATGGGACGATGTTTCCTGAACTTGACGGCTCTCTCTCCATTCCGCGGAAAGTAGAATTTGGCGCGCAGGAGACGATGATCTGATCCCGTGTAGAACTTCGGAACAACAGCGACGTCCGTCAGGCAGTACCTTCTGTTGACGATGATGTGGTCAATCTCGTTATGGTACTCTCCACCGGGCGATTCCCAGGTCCAGCGTAGGAAAGAGGGCTTTTGGAACTGTGAGTTTCCATGGATAGTCCTCGTCGTCATGATAAACTCGGACAGTCTCTTCCCTTGTTCGTTCCACTGCAAACCATGGGTTCCGATGTGAAGTTCCTCAGTCGTGTTCAAAGAGTTCAATATAGGGAGTCCAAATGTGCCTGGCAGTACATCACTTAGGTGCGAAAATGTAGCACCTAAGTGAGGATTAGAAAAAAAAATTTCTAGGTTAGAAACTTCCTGCACCCACTATGGCATATTAGTTTAAGAGGCAAATACAATCTGTGTGCAGAATTTTGTTTGCACCAAGTGTCCACTTTTCCGTGTATTGAACTGAACATTTGCAGTGATAGTAAAACGTGATTGGAAATTTCTCAAATGCCAAAATGGTGAATGGAAAATGGATTATTGGCCCTACTGGCTCCCTATCCGTCACTTGGCCTGCTACCCAAAGCGCATATAAAGTCTCAACTTCTCGAAATTACACACATCCTAAGCTCAGTAAAGAGTTCTGAAAACCTAATGACTTGTACCCAAGCTAAATGCATGTTTTGTCTGTTGGTTTCGCAGTTGGAGGTACAGAAGGAATATGCTGCTATCGCGCTTGTCATCACACTCATCAAAAATATTCTTGAGTTAAGAATTCAATACCATTTTTTTACCTACTCTGTACATTGCGTAAAGGAAAAGCAATTTTTTGTAGGCATTGCTTACGTCAAGTAATCTTCTTTCTGTTTTCTCTTGGTTCTTAGAGCTCCGTGTATTTGCTATCACCTATTTACCTTGTGAGGACAACAATGCAAGTGTACATTCCCCTTTGCTCTATTTTTCTGATATCCACGGTCAAAAATTGCATTCTATGTTGAAACATGTGTACTATTTGCTGGGGCTTATGCTATACATAACGCGTATCAGAAATTAAGTTTCAGAAACTTTTATTGGAAATTTCACCATGAACATGACCTGTCGTAGTAGTTCTTGGATCTACAAAAAAATAAAAACTTTCAAAAAATGTACTTATTTGCAGCCTTAGAGCTATAAGTGAGCTCTTTCACATTTTTTGCAAGAACTTCTTGGTTTAACGAATACAAGGTAGTAACAATGCACAACCGACTAGTTCTGTCAGTGAGCAGAATGCGTGCTACCATACTAAACTTTGGATTAAGCAATGTTTTGCTATGCAAAAAAAAGTGTCTGCCGATCATTGGTAAAAATTCTTGCTTGAAGCTGATGAGCTATCTTTTGGCATGACTGCCAAAAATTTATCGTTGATTCAATCTATAACATGTATTAGTTTTTTCAATAAGTCATGGCGATTGGAGTTGAATTCTGAAAACTGATAGAATTATTGAAATACCATTGAATATTATGATGGCTCGTCAGCATTTAGATTCTCAAACTTATTGCCTAAAGGAGTGACTGTTGCAGCTTTCCAAAAAAACTTGAGTGCTAGTATTACATACCATACAAGCTAGTATAAAAAGCGTTTTTTAAAAGACAAATTTTGCGACTTGAGGGATAGTAGATTTGTACGAAGATCGTTTAGAATTATCTCAGGAGTACTCGTGAGCAAAGGAAAACAGTATTGGTTTGAAATCGTGCAGGTGCTATTCCTTTCTGACTGTACTGGGAAGAGCTTGTTGAAACAATCGGTCAAAATATAGCGTTCCTCACCTTTCCTGATCGGAGGGCACGCGGAAAGCGACAATGCGCGTAAAATGCGAGCAGTGTAGAACTTTTACAGAGTTTTACTTGTGGCATCGAGTCATGCATGGTATCTGCCCATTCCCACCTCCTCCCCCCCCCCCCCCCACCTCTACCTTGGCGCCGTGTCACTTTCCAGCAAAGAGTTTCAAAAGGCAAAAAATTTGGGGATTGTCTCGGCACCACACCCCTCCTGATGTACACTTCTGCGACTGCCGGTCTTGATGAAGGCTGACTCTGCCTTTACTTGATGTGTAGCGGCAGGTTTAATTAGTTCCACTGTAATCTCTATCATAAAAACTATATACAAGAGAGGAAGGGAAAAGGAGGAAGATTGCACGGGAAGGGGCGCCCATTGCTTGTGAGTGTCAATAAGAAAATATCGCGACGCGGCAACAGTAACCTCGACCAGAGGCAGCATGGTCAGTGGGAAAGTCCCAGAGGAAATGCTCAGGGGTCAAGTTATTCCAGTGAGAAAAAGTTTGCATTTCCTGATCAGAAACACAGTAAATTCATGTTTGCCTTCGCTATCTTCCTTTTTCTACATTTTTTGTAGCCAAACTTTCATCAAACAAAAAAAGATGTAGCATTGTAGAAACCATTACAAAGAAGGATCAGTATGGCTTTGTGAGTCAGCTACCCGAATTCTCTGCATACCTGATTGTTGCCAGCGTGCCGCGCGCGGTGACTACGTAACTGACAGCCACAAGTAATGGGATACACCCTTGCACCTCCTCCTGCCCGGGGGCGGAGGTCACTGCCAAAGGTTCGCTATTTTAGGCCAACCTCCATCGTGTGCAGGTGTTTGGGAGTAGCTCCATTCCGACAGTGTCAAGTCTTAGAGTCATTATTGCAAAGTTTATAACCCAAAAACCAGAACTCGGATCTGCACTAAGGTCGGTGCCGGGTTTGTTTCAACAAAACGAAAAGTCATTCTTTTCTCGCTGCCTTTGTACCATGTGAAAGCTGCAAAATTATCACTGAACTTTGAAAAATGATAAGGGCTTTAACTAAAGATTTGAATCGTCTTGATTGAAGCAGTGTTCCCACACTTTGACAATGTATACGCAGGACCTAAGATCGCTCGAACTTCTACTTTCCTCTATTAGTGCGGTGTTCAAGAAAAGTGCATGTTCGCTGAAGGCTTTCGTGCTGCTCTCCTGAGCCTTGATTTTTCTGGTGAAAAAAGCATGGAGAAATTTCCGAAAATTCCACAGCAGCTATACGACACTCTCTTACGGGTACCGATACTGCAACAGATTTTTCGAACCGGTCTGCCTATAGTAATTAATCCCAAACTTGACAGGTTTCAACCATTGCATAAATTGGTCTTATTTTATATGTAAGCTATCTGGAAGCTTGTGAGAGAGAATCATCTGTGCGGCAAGATTCAAAGAAGACAACAGCACTTGCCTTCAGCTTAAAGCTAATGAATTTAAAACTCATCAGTCACACTGTCCCTCTTAGAGCATTTGAATTGCCTTTGTTGACAAAGCCCATGCCAATCGCCGACTAGTGATTATTGAATATGTAGATCATAGACTATGTGATTATTCAAATGTGTAGATCAACCGATTGGGGATTGAATTCCTTTACCAATTCAAAATTTTATCATTATGAGGACATTGTAGAACTATAATACATTACAGGCACAAAATGACGGCTATGACTTCGAGTCAGAAATCCAGTAAAACTTAATCGACTTGTTTTCTCACCTGAACCTCCTGCTTCTAAATACGCTAAGTTGAGGAACACCATGATCACTTGTACATCTATCGCTGCTCTGTTGCTCCTAATCAACAATTAGGACCGAAGGGGAGGGGAGGGGCGTTACGTACCCACCCGAGGTGCGAAGCTTTCGCAGCTGCCGATTAGTGTTATACGCTATGCCGTGTCCCTTATTTGCTTTGGCAGCGTGTACCTAACGACACACCTATTCTTAACTGCTAGAACAGCTCACTAGCTCGTTTGAAGGCAGCGAGCGGAGGGCGTCAATTACCCAGCCATCAGTGGTATACACTAAGCCACGCCCCTTGGTTGCTTTAACAGCGGGTACCTAACGATACACCAAATCCTAGCATATACCACTAATTGACAAGTGCGAAGTCTTCACACCTTGGCTGGGTACCCAATGCACCCGTATGACAGTGGTCAGCGCACTGCATAACGCCACTGGGCCAATTCTAAATCTATTAGGTTGTCCCATAAGTCTTTTCATTTTTGAGTTTTCGCTGTGATAAGTCATACATTTCTTACTCAGAACAGACATTAGGATATCATCCAATAGAGCCAAGCTCTATAAGATGGCGTTTATGCTTTTGCACCAGCTTCGGTCAATCTCAAGTTTGAAACCAAAATCCAAAAAGTTTCGGATGCCCAGAAAATTGAAAGTTTTTTATATCTTCTTTCAGAAAAGTCCTACGAATCTCTCACTCGCTCACGCATATACACTCCACACCAATCATTCCTCATGCATATACACTCCACAACAAACATTAATACGTGCTATTGCCGTATTTTTTTATTAGCTAGAAACCAAGAAACCGAAAATTTCCATGTTTTTACCAAAGTGATGTTGCGCTGTTCTTCACTACAGTTCTATACTACAAGCCCTTAGAAGTGCAGCCGTAAATTTCTAGCTCCTTATAAGGGTTTGCGAGAAATGTTGAATTAAGCACAGATCCGAGTGAGGAAAGCTAAATTCGATGTTTCTCGGGAACTATAGCTTATAGCGAGCTAAACTGCGGTTATACTTATAAGATCGTAATAAACAACTGTTAGTGTAAAAAAGCGCAACATCACTTTTGTAAAAACATGGAAATTTTCGGTTTCTTGATTTCTAGCTAATAAAAAAATACGGCAATAGCACGTATTGTTTGGTGTGGAGTGTATATGCGTGAGCGAGTGAGAGATCTTTTCTTCCGAACCTTTTTGGATTTTGATTTCAAACTTGAGGTGGATCGAAGCTGGTGCAAAAGCATAAATGCCATCTTATAGAGCTTGCTTTGCTCTATCAAATGATATCCCAATGTCTATTTTGAATTGGAAATGTATGACTTATCACAGCAAAAACTCAAAAATGAAAAGATTTATGGTACAACCTAATATTTTGTGACTTTGACTTGACCATCATATTCCTACCGTAACCTTGCTCTATCTCTCCGCGGTGAAAAAAGAATTTTATATCCACAATCAGCGCATCCAACACCGCCAGTCCAAGTTTCAATCTATTACGTTATCTGTCTACATAAGCCTATCATAATCCCGCTCTGTGGCCCTGCAGCAAAAGCTGGATATCATATTGGGAATTAGCATGCAAAAAAACACCACCGCATCAAGTTTCAGTCAACCGCTCGGTGTTCGCTCAACTATCGTATGGTTACCTAACCTCGCTAGATTGACCAGCCGTTTAAAATGAACACCATATTTGTGATTAGCCTGCCAAATAACCGCAATGTACTTAAGGTTCGACAAAATCCGTGATTTTCGCACAATTACCTTGTCCCCACTAACCTCGCTATGTAGCTGAATGGCGAAAAATGAACATCGTAGTTGTGATCAGCGCCTTTGGTAACCCCGGGGCCAAATACAAGATTCAAAATTTGTGTCAATGGTGCCCCACGATACACCACGATACGCCTCATGCTTGCTAAAACTACGAGCGAAATGTACACTAGAGGACTTCTTAGCTGGCGTTATCCTGGCGCCGTGTCACTTTAGCAACGAAGAGTTTTGAAAGGCACAAAATTTGGAAATTGTCGCCTTCCGCAACACACCCGATGAAAAGTGATTTTGACTTGAAACAGATTGTTACGCTTCCGCCCATCTCAGGTATAAGACGCTGAAAACTTTTTTTTGCAAGCTTTAGTGCTATATCTTGCAAAGTTCTGTAGCTGGTACAAACCAAACAATTTTTGCGATCCATTTGTGGACAAGGAAGTATTTCTTTGCATTCTCCAGATAGGATGTCTTCTGTCAAGAACAATTTAGCAATATAATTAATTTATTATAGTCCGCACACTTTACAAGGCATAAACAGATCTAATAAGACATCAGAAATAAACTTGGAGGATCTTCAAAGCACTGAACCCGTAATTTAATTAAGCGCTTTGTAACAGTACTGAGTAACAAACGCAGTTGATAATGAAAGATGAACAAGATATAAAGCGTCACAGTAAGGCTACGAGGAGATCCGAGATACCCGTAGCGGTCCTTCTAACTAAGATATTGTCCCCTTGGTCCATAGGGTAACAAAGCGCAAAAAAATCTGT